AGAGAGAACACTAACCTTGCTCGAGGCGACTTCTGGCGCGGAGGACAGGAAGGCGGGTGGGGGGGCGGCTATTGTTTGGAGGGAGAGTCCCCCTCCCTACAGGAAGCCACGACCACGTGTCACAGGAGGGAAAATGGCTGCGGATCCTGTTCATCACCCGATGCGGAGTTCGCGCATGGAAGCAAAATTTTGCGAACGGTGCTGTTCGTGAACCGAATTGTTCGTGAACAGAAGCGTTCGTGACCCGAGGTACCACTGTATTTGGCAGCTGAGGCCTGTTTTTTGGATTGTTCTGCTGGATTGCTTTTTGGATTTTGGGCCTGTATGTTTTCTGTCCTTTGACTTTCTTAGATTATGGTTGTTTAATATTTGCATTATTGTGAAACTGTTGAGAGTCCCATGAGAAATGCAATGAATAAATGAATAAACAGTTAATCCCTCATTTATTACACATTTCCATAGAAATAGATATGAGCACCCATGGGGAGTGGCTCAGATTTACTTCAACTAATATATGATAAATTTCTGAATTGCTTAACAGTATCAGTAAATTTTTGTATAGGGGATACATAACTACCAATAAAACATATGTCATCAGTAACGGTTTATGCTGAGTCACAGTTATACCTGAAATATAATTGGTTTGTATAATACAGCAGGACAACAGTTCCAACACCAATTGAAAGGTAGGGGAGATAAAGGACATTCCTCATAAGTTCCAGCGAACATCTTCATAAAAGAAGAAAGAATCCATTTTTAATCACCTAATGCAAGGAGTTAATCCAGTTGACAAAAAACAGAAGTAATCTGTATTTAAACAACATTCATTTCAGATACTTCCAATATACCATGTCAAAAGTTTTATCCACATCCAGGGAGACCAGTGATGATGATGACATCAAATATTATATTTGTAAAACTTTGAATCAAATCAGTGCCCTTCTTTATACTTATGGACGCATACAAAAAACATGAATTTCCTTAAAATATTATCAAGATGGTCTGAAATTGTTTGGCATTTACTGAATATTGTTATTCTACCATAATATGCTATAAATATGTTTATGAATTTTATTTGAGAAAGGTTGGAATTTAGTTTATTGTGAATGAGCAATAAAATATAATGTATACTCATTAACTTGGCGGTTTTATTGATTTCAGGTAAATGGAACTCAGGCAGTCCAACTGAAGGCCAAATTGTGTTTAATTTGAACATCAGTGCACGAATATATCATGTTGAATTTTTTTGTATAAATTGAGTTTTTCCCAAACCTGGAGGCTGTTAATTTGTATGGGATTGTGAATGATCTATGAGGCTGGAAATAAGAAGTCAACACAATTAACACTTATCTTCTAGCTCTGCCAAGCCAATGTATTCTCTGCTGAATTCCCATGGTCTTCATCAGGAAATAAAAAGATAAGGGTGGCAAAAGCATTTGGTGCACTTGTGTAATTTTCCACTCTGATTTATATCGACATACACACATAAAATGGCATCTTGTAATATTTCACTCACTTCAAATTTGATGATGACCCTTAGAGGTAGTCCAGACAAGAAGTACCAACCATGAGTACTAACACTACCTTTATTGCAAAGTTACAGTAACAGAATCTTGCAAGTCTGAAAGTGCATCTCTCCCCCCTCAGAGGAGGAGTGTCCCCTCTGAGACATTTGCCATAGTCCATTGCTTCTGTGGGCTCAGCTGCCTCTTATCTGACCATTACCTAGTCTGCTTCTGCTCCTCCTATCTCTCAAGGACATGCTCACAGACCATTACATCTGGGAAGGAAATTCTGCTTTGTTTGGAGGGCCTCATTCTGCTGAGAGTTCTGCCTCTTGGCATCACTGGGTTCAAGAGTACAACATAAATAGTTGGCCATTGAACAATTTTCTGTTAGTGCCATTTTCAGAATTCAGAATGTTTTTGTTTCCATAGTTAAAACAAAGTACACTTTTGCTCTTCGGGGTTATAGATTAGATATGAAAATGTGCTAATTTGGGTTATAGAAATCAAACCAAATTAAAATGCATTAACTAGATTATTCTGAAATATTAGGTGGTAAAGAAGAATATCCTGACATTTTTAAAATAGTTGCAGGTAACTATTACGGGGAATGTTGTAATGGAGTATTAAACTAGAATATCCCAAGCACAGTCTGTAATTCCTCTGCTCTACATTGCTTTCATGCCAGTTAAGAGCCTTGGGAGAAAAGAATCATGATGGTTTTGAGCTTCCAAAGACAAGCTGTCTCATATTTGGAAATCAAAGCTGTAGAACCTAGTGCCTTTCAGATGAGAAAGTTCTGCACCCCAAACAATTCCACCATAGGTCATACTAGCTAAGAACTCTGGGAATATCAGATGGGGAAGGCAGTATTAGAATATCTAAAGCTCAAAGTTTCAGAATATATATTTTATTGGCAAGAAGGGAGATTTAATTGGAAGTTCAGCAGCATATATGCTCTTCTTACAAAATAATCCACAGTTTCTGGCAAACAGTTTCAATTCCGGGCATCTGCAAGAAAGGCTAAAAAAGCCATTCTGGACCATTGCTGCCAGATACTGTATTACAGACAGTACTGAATTAGATACAGGTAATCCTCATTTAGCAACTGCCTCGTTTAGCAACCGTTCACTGTTACGATGGTGATGAAGAAGTAACTTTATGACCAGTCCTTGCATTTATGACCTTTGCAGGTCTGTAAAACAAAGGAAAGCTGAAGTAAGATTGTAAGCACAGTTGCAGTTTCATTTAGTGACCACTTCACTTAACAACTGAGTTGCCAGTCCCAAATGTGGTTGCTAAACAAGGACTAACTGTAAATCAATTATCTAATTTACTATAATGCTAAAAACTGCAATAGCTTCATAGACAGCAAAAACAGTTTTTTTGCATCTGCTGAATCTTAATCCAGCTTGAGCATCAATTATTGTGATCTCACTTCTGCAGACTAACACACTTACTTGGAAATTGCCAAATATAGGTGATGCTACTGCTGAAGGCACCCATGTGGGTGAAGGAAATATTGAAGTGCAGATGTTGCTAACAAACTAAGGGTTTATTATCATAGAACAGCAATCAATGCACAGGTGTTGGTTATTCAACACAGACGGCCACCCACATGTTGCTGTGTGGATGCCTGCCCCTAATTTGTAGTGCCTTTCAGTTAATAAATTAGGACGGTTCCCGCAGAAGAGCAGATGGAGTAAAGCTGTTGTTTGATTGCCTTCATATTTGTGTAAGCTGTACATCACTGCAACTCGCTAATGTGCTTCCATGCCAACCAATCTCTCTTATCGGAAGGCAGAACTGTTCTTCAGTATATGTATTTTTTTTTCCGTAAGAAAGAAATCCTTTGAGAAAAAAGGTGCAGTGTTTAACCTGAGAACTAAATAATTTTTTTTGTCACAATTGTTATAAGAACCATTGTAGTTGTAAATATAACTTGATAATTCACGTAAAAGCATATGTTTTCCTAACTCTTTGTTCAGCCAGAGAAAGAAGAACCTGTGCAGAACAATCTGATAGGAAATGGATTTCAAGTTCAGGGGAGTCCCTGTCACTATCAATGGTTGATGACACACACGCCTCTTCATTACATATAAACTCATCTTTAAAACCAGGGAACTACTGGTCTATTGTTCAACCAACAACTAGGACCATGTAAGTCAGGGCTCCTCAATCTTGGTGACTTGAAGATTTGCAGATTTCCCCATGCTGGCTGGGGAATTCTGGGAGTTGAAGTCCACATATCTTCAAGTTGCCAAGGTTGAAGAGCCCTGATGTAAGTGACTAAATGAGGGCAGGAAATCTATCAGAAAGGGGCTTGAGGGTTCAAAGTTGTCATAGGACTCCATTATCTGTCATCTGACCTCTTGGATGCCTATTGTAATTAGATGCAATAGCTTAGAATTAAAAGTTCTGCGTCTATTATTAAGAGTAGTGGGTTTTAAATTGAAACTGCTTTTTTGTACATCTTCTTGTATATCATCTAATCTTCCTAACCCTGTAGGTGATAGTAATAATAAAATAACATAGGTGAGGCAGCAGGAGAGGGAAACCGAATGAGATTTATTCAGTGAACTTCATGACTAAGCCAGAGATTTAATCTTTTGTCTCCTGGGTTGACAAAAGCAACACATTATCTTGCCTTCAGGTTCTCAAAAATGGCTTTTTCTCCCATTTTTCACAGATGCAGATTTATTTCTACAACCCCGATGACTTTGACAGCTTTGGGACAGCAATCCAAGAAAAAAGGATCATAGGAACCATGGCTGTGTTTTTCCAAGTAAGTTATTTAGTGCCCCCAAAGTCTTTAATCCAAGAGATGGTAAAGTTCTTCCCCCCTTCCATTATTATTGTTGTTGTTATTGTTCATTGAATTGTTTCTCGCTTAATGAATGCATCTGTTTTCTCACTTACACCTGTCTAAATGAAGGATATTTCATATTGTCTGCTCTGCGATTTAAAATGTAAATAAGTGTTTTTAGAAACATAATGGAAATCTTTGCATGAATTATTCTGATTTTTATAGCTGCCTGACTGGTGCACAGATTGGAGAGCACATTTATCATAGAAGTTACCTTGCTATCAGAGCCCATTGCTCAGGTTTGTGGAATATTAACGGGCCGGTTAAGCTGGAGGAAAACTTTAAATTCAGTTGCAACTTGCCAGCTTATTAATCAACACTGTCAGTCCCCTTCTCCTCAACACACTTTTTTTTTCCCACTTGTAACAGCATCTTATTATAAATTGTCATGGTAACTAAATTTCTCAGGGAAACTGGTTTTTCCAATTCAGTGAATTTATGGAGCCCCCTTTTATGATGTGCTTTTTGCACGAATGTGAATGTTCAGTTGGCTCATTTACAGGTTCAGCACACCTGAGGACTTGCTGTATTTTCCAGGGGCACTGCCTGTGATGGTTGACAGGCCGAGCCAAATTGAAGCGGTCTTTGTCTCGTTAGATTGGAGAAATGGTTTTCCTTTCCCGAGCAAAGGATAAATTGAGGTGAAAGTGACGGTCTGACTTTATTCCGGAAGGCTGCCACAAGTTTACACATATAAACGATATGCCTCTCAGTGTGAAAGAGGAACCTCAAACTATTTTGTGTGAAATGTGTCTGTCTGTTTATATCTGTATCTCTCTCTCTCTCTATCCATCTGCATTAATCTTTAGCACTAGCCTAAGGGCTATGATTGGACAGTACGTTTTAGAAAAGGAGAAAGTACAGCAATAAAAATGTGCTAAGATACAGTGAAGAAAACCTACAAACATGACAGAAACAATTTTTCTGAAAGGTCTTAGGAATTATTAATGGTTTGGGAGAAACTACTATTCATACAACTATTTTGGGGTTTTCAAACCCAAAACCTATGGCATTTTATATTTATTTGTTTATTTACATTATCTACATCCTGCCTATCTTCCACAGAGATCTAGACATCACACGGCAACCAGGAAAAGACAGAAATATAAAGCAACAAATGGTAGCAGAGAAATAAAACACAGTGGCTGTATTCATACAACTCATGTAAACTGATTAAATATCTAGCAGCTGCATTTGCACAATACACTAAGCTTTATTATTATTTATGTTGATTAGATTTTTTGTGTGTGGTTTAGTGCATTGTGTAAAACCCTTCAGTTAATTTGTAGTTCAACGTACTGCACAAATCCAGGAAAGTGTGTTAATTCAGGACCCTGGCTAGAGGCATTGCGTGGATGCAGCCATTGACAAGGTTGAAACAGCAATTCGATAAAAATATCAAGAGTGTTGTATGTGAAAAAAGACTCTCCCCAAAAGGAAGGCCTTCACAACTTCTGGAAGACTTAGCAAGGAAGTGAGGTGGGCCTTCCTCCAATGAGAGTTCAAAAGCCTAAGCGTAGCTCCCCCAAAGACTCACTCCCTGGTCCTTAGCAACTTGGGGGGCAAAAATGACCTTATTCATATAAGGGAAGATAGAGTTCTCACCCTGACCACTGGGTTATTTTTTTCTCTGTCTGCATAATCAAAATCTTCAAGTATTAGGTAGAGATGTTTTATCCTGTGCCCACACTACAGTTCCATCCAGATTAGACACTGACACTCCTGGCAGTCTGCAAAAAAAAAAAAAATTCTTCAGTAACAGCAGAAGAGTTGAGTAAACATCCACTTTTGCCTACAGTGATTTTTCTTACTTTTCTGCTTGCATTGCCATAGTGATAGAATGATCCCAAAGTATTTAGCTGTATTTGTCTGAATAAAAAAACAATGGAATTTTACATTATTTTACAGCTTATTATCTGTACAGCTTATTATCTG